TTAAAATATATGTATAAAAATTCTAGTATAAAATTAGAAAATTTTAACAGTAATCTTATTTTGCTTGTATTTAATTCAACACATGCCAATATTAGCAAGAATCATACTTACTGCTATGAATACAGCCAATCCTAAATTTCAAATTTAAGTAACAAATGCATGACATTATAAACATGTAAGAAATAGTTTTGTATAAATGTATATATACATTTATCCTAGATGTCTTTTAGTTTGTTTTTGTTTCGTTGAGTTGCTGTCTTGAAATGTATCTTACACCTCCTTTCATTTATAGTAAATACTATAGGAAATTTAAGACATTAAACAGAGCTTTTTCTACAAAAATGTGAAACGTAGATCCAAATTCCTTGTTTTAGGTAATGAAAAATTCTAACTTTGTAAAGAACCACACTGAATCCATCAAAATGCTGGACTTTTTGATCGACATATTTGTTGAGTTTGATAGAATGATATTTCAGCAGACAGTCGGTATTCCAATGGGTACTGATTGTGCACCACCACTGGGCGACTTGTTTTTGTACTCATATGAAGCATATAAACTTCTAAAAAATAAACGTGCTAAGGCCTTTTATTTCTATTTCAGATATATTGATGATGTTCTGTCACTCAATAACCCAGATTGCAATGAGTGCTTACATCTCACATATCTCAGTGAACTTGAAAAAAAGACTAACACCGAAAGTAGGAGATGTACTTCATATCTTGTTCCTTTCCTCGATATCGACACAGATGTACGACTTCAAACTTGAATCTATGACAAACTTGAGGATTTCAACTTTCCAATAGTCAATATTTCTTTGAAGTAACGTATCCCCTGTGCTATGGAATGGTGTTTACATATCTTATTTAAAACGTTCCACTTGTGCATGTTCACACTATACGGACTTCATTAACAGGGTTTTGTTCCTTATACACAAACTGCTCCAACAGAGTTATGAGGAAGAACGACTGAAATAGACGTTACATAAGTTTTACGGTCACTATCACGAATTTGTTGACACATACGATGTGTCGGTGTCTCATCTCAATTGCGACTTTTTCTCGTGGTCTTAGATCTTTAGATGCCCGTATAGTCGTCTGAAGTGTAGTTTAATGGTTTGTGTCCTATTCTCGATCGTGAAATTTTTACTGAGTGTAGATTTATATAGCGATGATGCATGCATAGCAGGAGACACTTACCCTGTCGATGTGCGATTCTCTGAGTTTCAATTTATTACCTTGATTTGGCTCTTTCTATTCGATTTAAGAGATTTGAACATCGGTAAACTACTGTCGCCTTAATTTAACTTAAACAATATGACATCAATGATGATCTCATTATGTGGTAGAAATACAAATGGACAAAGTAATTGTAGATCAGACACCTACCGATTATTACTCTTATACGTCATTTTGTTCATCATTTTAGGTCTATAGGATGCATATTTTTTGTTAATATCTATTGCTTGACTGCTTCCTCGTTGACATTAAGTTTTCAAAATGTGCATTGCAGTAGATACCTTTTAATTTTGTAGTACACCTTAAAATTTATATTGGATACATTTCACAGATGACTGACATGGTACATTCGTATGGGTTGAAAGAAGTCTTAAATCAGTAGATGAATAATTCCAAGAAATACAACAAGAAAGAACAGAAATTAAAATAATGTCAAATGAAAATCGATAGCACAATCTTAATTTTATTTTAAATTGTTTAAATAAGATAAGACGGTTGATTCTTTTTAAACAAGACATGTTAAGGTGATTCAAATTTTCCTGACTTACCACACATTCTATTGATCAACGGTGGAGCGAAAATTCTTGTATTGTGAAAGATAAGCAAGCTTGTTCAAGTAAACGTGTACTAACAGTAAAGTTTAAAAGTCTTTCAAAATGATAGAAATTAACAGATTAGAACATATCAAACAGGTGTGTTTATAATTACTTGTATCAGCATGGAAGTTAACAGAAAATTGAAGATTTAATGAAGCATGTCCATTTAAGGAAATAGATAACGAACATTATAATTGCTGATCATGAATTTTCTGGTCAAAAATCTTTACCTATTACCTATTTGTCTTCAGACATACAACGATAAGATGAGAGAACAATTCCGGTGTAGTTTCAAAAATCGAAGTTAAAACCCGTGGCAAAATCTGGAATACACTATATGGTTAATCTGTTTGGAAACGGGAAAAATTTCTCATACGCCACAATGACTTATTTGACCTTTATAGAATATCTATGTTACAAATGATGATAGTTATCTTTTTTTTCCCAAACACAATCCTCCCATCGGCAAGGACTTATCACCGAGCTCGACTCGTTACCGGATTTTACAGCAGTTACATGACGGGTGCAACTTGTGGAGCAGGATCTGTGTGCCCTTCAAGAGCAACCGAGTTCAATCTTTGTTTTTATAGGTGTTCGTATTGCTCATCTGTTACATTTCTGTGTATAGTGTTTGGTTGACCTGATGGTTTTAATCGACATTTAACATTTTGTTTGAAATGTATCTTATATCTTTATTTGTGACTCGACTCTAGTGCAGGCATTTATGCGAGAAACTGGTTGGTTGAACCAGTTTTATGGCACCGCTGCACATCCAATTTTAATAATTATCGTTTGAGTTTCAATATATGAAACTTCTAGAAGAACAAAAAACTTTATAAGTGCACATAAACATCAAGTAAAAACGAATCAACATGGTCTGTTAAACACGCTTAAATCGTCCATTGTTTTCCATATACATGTAGCTAGTTTCTAAAAACATTCTATGCTTACTTGCAAAATGATTATCTTAGATTAACTTTAAGTCTGTAACATTGCTTTATTTTCAAATTGTAGTAAACAACAACCACAGCTGGGTTAACATTGATATTAGGTGTATTATCGAATTGATTGAAAAGAAATAGCAATAAAGGTGCGATGATCCAGCATAAAAGCCATTTTGCGGGTGTTTGTGGTATCTTTCAGTATTAATGAAGACTTGAAAACAACTTTCTCACGGTCGCTTTTTTTGTTTGATTGCAATATACTCGAACGGTCATTCCCAATTCTATGAGAAACATAAAAGTGACCTTTTTTAGAACTTTTCTGTACTGGCACAGTTTTTGCCCGCGGCAGAAAGGGTAACATTGCATAGCCTAGAATTAGTTTACATGTCTTATGCAATATAATTTTAGTACAAACAATTACATTCGTTATATGTTAATAAGAATATACAATGGAAATAACACTGAATTAATTGAATGCGTCAGAAGCGCTTTTATCTTCATTAGAAACGATCACAGCTGAAAATAGGAAAGCCAAGAATGCAAAATACCGAAACACTTGAAGAGCTACATGACCAAAAAATACATAAAATAATAGCCATCCTAGGTGGAGCAAGTTTCAGATAATTTCTAAATTATATGTTAATAAGAATATGCAATTTATAATATTACTTTCAATTTGTATTGGAGATTGTGTTTGATTATTCAAGATATCCATTTCATAGTAAATCAATAAACAGCTGAAAAGGTCTGGTCTATATAAAATGTGCTAAAAATTAGACGATTTAGCTCGTTATTTTAGTCACTCTGAACGACCTGTGTGTATACATTTGGAACATTTAAAGATATAGATAAGATTTCCTTACTTTACTAAATTTAGAAAGTATAGAATGATGTCAAACATTTAAAATACTTAGTTTATAAACTTCATAAGCCATATTTTTGACCCAATGGACCATATAAAACCGCTATTCTTGACCCCAATTCCTATCCACGTAAAGTTTTTTTACTTTCAAACATTTATAGTTGGAGTGAGATTAATATACAGTTATTTACACATCAGACCGTTCTGGTTAACGGAACTTTGGATACACCAAACCAGGTACTTCGTATCACAGAAACAGGCAATATATGTCCTCAATTTCAGAATTCATTCATGCGTTTTCATTTTATACAAAAATTTTAGCCAAAATGTGTTCTACAAGGATCACCAGTCCTTCACCTGTCATTTGATACCTAAATTACCAAAATATATTTTACATAGTTTGATGTTTACCCTGCTTCCTTTTGGGTTCTTTGTTTGTTTTGTGAGACTACCAACTCCTTTGTTTTCATAATTTTTCTGGATTTTTTCCTCTAACAGATATTTAATAGTCCTTTCGTCGTGCCTCCTCCGGATTTAACCTTTCTAATCGAATCGCTCAATTTAGCGGTAGAAGATGGTACAACTGAATGTTAAAAATAACTCGGTCCAGTGGGAAAATCACTGTTTACCTAAATCCTGCCATGATAGTTGGTACTGTTAGGAAACTCTTGTATGTAATGTAGATCATGCTTGTTGTAAATTACTAAAATCTGTTGGATAAGATTATGTGGTAGTAAATAATATAGAGTTAAAAAAAATATTTAACTGTCAATAGAGACAAAACTGACCTTCAAAAGGACTTAGCTTATCTAACAATTCAACAAATTCTAAGACTCCAGATGTGGTATACAACCTTAGATTTGTATGAAATTTGATGAATAGTTCCTTAACGATTATATGAATACCTCTCAGCCGAAAAATAATATTATGTATATATACAATATTAGGGAAATGTCAGAAAAATGTTTACGTTTTGTATGAGGGTAAGAAACAGGGAAAGGGTGAGGTTCATTGAGCACTTTTATTTTTTGTGCCGAATACAAAAAAGTTGATATTTTTATTTCTGACATTGACTTAATATAATATTTTTATACTGCAGCTAAAAATGGTTACAAAAAGTTATGCAAATATTAACACAAACAATAAAACATATTTTCCAGCGCTAAACGAACCTCAAATTGTGAAGAAAAGTGACATAATATGAAATCGACATTGTACGTAATATCCCTTTGTTACTATATTTGGTAGATAAAGACAACAGGAAGTGCTCTAGCTGCAGTATAAAGATCATTTAATATAATACAGATATACAAAAAATTCTTTCATGATGATGAATAAATGAGAAAATGTATAGTACTTGTTAGTTATAAATTTTTAAATATCAACCGATATCAACTTTACACTGTCTTTCGTTTTGGAAACTTTTCAAAATTTACATGTGTTATACAATTGTGTAAAATTGTGTGCAGACGAGAAAAATAAAGATAGACAATTATAATGGAGTATTGAGCTTATATTTTCCATAACTTTATATTTTTATTAAATAAATATCTATTTTGTATTCTTTCTGATCATCATAGTTGTTGACTTGAGTGAGTAGTAATGACCGTGCCATGTAAACCAATTGATCCCTTTTGCATACGGGCTCTTGGACACGTGATAATATTTCCCGTTAAGATTTGACGAATGACATGCGCCATACCACCATGCCCCGATGTAAAGAGTTGCACAGTTTCCACTATACGGATCATTATCTCGGTCTTTTGTTGTAAATTTTTGTCCATTTTGCGTCGTAAAGGAATCTCCTGAAATGCAGTAAGCTATTACGATTTAGTTATAAACATACTTTTTAATTATATGGATTTGAAGATACAAACCGGTCTGGGATCTTCTCCAGTTCATATATGCAATCTTATAGATTAAAAACTTAATCTTATGAAGTACGTACTCTGCATTTTATATATGCTTTATATACTTTGCATTATATCCAATACAAATGGTTATAATTGACAAAGAGGGGAGGGTTGTGTTACTGGACACCCGGTTTGCAATGGAAAGAACATCACAAATCAATAAAAGGTGTCTTAAAATGTTACTGTAGCATGTGACATAACTTGTCGAAACTGATCCGCAAAAGTGTTGCATGTTTATACAGTCACATAATAAGAGGTTTCAAACCAAATCCCCCAAAAGTGAGATAATAAATCTCATCGTTTCGACAAAACATGATTGAGACAAATATAACGCAAATATTAAACATTGAAGTCACATATAATGCTACAGTAAAATATGAGCAGCAAATTCGGATATTTTTACGGGAAAGGCATATCAGCGAAAATCACAAATACATTCTTGTATGTAGATATCATTTGTTGATAAATAGCTTTATATTCAATGTACTATTATACAATATTGCAAAAAGAAATGAACGTTAGTCTCACTTTACATTTTCTTCATAGACAATAGTAACACCTTTAAAATATTTTAAAATCTCAAGTTTATAAACTGCAAAATTCATATTAGTGTTTAATACAATTGGAACACGTACAATCTTAATCTTAAACATTAGGTTTCGATTCGAATGTTTTATATAAATTTATGGGTGGACGGACTGGTGTTTAACACCTAGTGGAAAATATCGCATGTATATCAGAACACACTGATCCAGATATTTAACGTGCTATTTTACAGGAGGACATGTCACTTGACATGGCATGTCAATCGAATACTTTATTCCGACTCTGAGCCGACCAGTCTTTTGCGTTTACAACTCCTAAAAGCTGCGTACTAAGATGTTAAAGCAGCACATACCAATTTTCAATTCTTTTGGTTTGATCCGCTGGATATGATCCTCACTAAGACCTAAAGTGGAACTTAGGTACTCATGAAGTGGCATCGTTGCAATTCTTCATCATGAACCAATTGACTTTCCTGTTATATATATATATATAAATATATGGATGTTTTATTATATACCTGCATCGCCAGAGTAGTTCCCAACAGAAAGTTTGTAGCCACTCGTCTCATTTAATATGATGAAACTTCTGTAGTTTGCATACTTTGTAACGCCTTCATAGTCCGTCATGATAAATTGCAAACTATGGTCTCCATTTGATGTTATCTGGTGTATTAAATCATTTCCTTTAAATGAAACATATTTTTTATGATGAAAAATTATTAACTCGCACAATTTTTTATGATGAAAAATTATGATCAACTAAAGATGAAGAAATGGATCTTCATTCACTGTATTTGATATCTAAATTACATAAGTGTCCGTACAAACAAAGTTTTATTGCTGGGACTTCATATAGAAGCTTCTTAGGAAGAATGAAAAGAAGATAGCATTATATTTTAACTTCACTTTCCGCTATATAGATGATGTCTTCTCATTAAATAATTCAAAGTTTGGTGACTATGTTGCTATCCCATAGAACTTTACATAAAGGATACAACAGATACGGTTAAGTCTGCTTCATATCTTGATTTACATATAGAAATTGACAATGAGGGTCGGTTGAGAATATAACTTTAAGACAAAAGAGATGATTTCAACTTCTCACTTGTAAACGTCCATTTCTAAGTAGCAACATTCCAGCAGCGCCTGCATATAGTGTATATATCTCCCATTTGAAAAGATATTCCAGGGCTTGCGTTGGAATACTATGCGACTGTCAAACAAGTGAGAGGTTAAGCTAGCTATAAAACCAGCTTTAATCCACTATTTTCTACATTAGGAAATGTCTATACCAAGTCAGGAATATGACAGTTGTTTTCTATTCGTTTGATGTGTTTGAGCTTTTGATTTTGATTTTACCCTTTTATTAAGGACTTTCCATTTCCCTTGTAGTTCGGTATTTTTTCCCTGTCATGACTTCCAAGAGTTCCAAGTTGTGAAGTTGAAATCATCCCTTCGAAAATTTTACGGACGCCATCATGAGTTGGTTGACCTTAAGGAATATCTGTTTTACAGATGACGACAAATATGTTCCAATCGTCGTAACCACAACCCCATCCTCCTTTCCCCCGAATGTGACCTACCGAATTAGACTTATTACCGGGTTTGTACAAACATGAGCAAAACGACGGAGACCACATGTGGAGCAGGATCTGCTCTGCTTATCCTTCCGGAGCACCTGAGATCACCCCCAGTTTTTGGTGGGGTTCGTGTTGCTCAGTCTTTAGTTTTCTTAACACGACAGGTGCCACATGTGGGTCAAGAACGCTTACCGTTACGGAGCACCTGAGATCAACTCCGGTTTTTATCGATGTATGACTTTGAATGTCCCTTTGGAATCATTGTTCCTGAATCTTTTAGAGCTAGTTGAAGTTTACAGGGTTTTTTAAAAGAATGGTGCAAGAAATAAAAGTAAAGAGAAGTATTGGATCAAGTTTTAAATCCTAAATATTCTAAATACAAACCCATCCAATACTCGTCAGATGGACTTCCGAAACCATTTTTATAGTCTGTCCAGTTTCTATAGAAATCTATGGAACCATTGTATCTTCTTTGTATAACCTGCGTTACGGAGAAATCATGTTCTTCATCTAATTGGTTTAAATAATTAATTAAATTGAAGCTTATTTTAAGCGAGTTATCATCGGTACAATCATTATTTGTCAACATAATTTAACTCGTTAGGCCGTGTCTATTTTAGTGTTTATTTAGTTTGTTTTGTGCAATGTCAAATTTCTGCTACAATATGGCTACTAGTTTATCTAATAGACACAAGCTATTTATTTCTATAACTTAAAATATCAATCAAACAAAAACAAACTAGTAAGCGTAGTTTTTCATATGCGCAACAGTCTCAAGTTAGTTTTAACCTAACAGGAAAGCTTGAGTTTGGTTGAAACGAAGTCTTCTTGTAATGAAGTGTATACTTACCGTCCATAAACTCCCATTACTATCAGCTTCACAGAATACGGACACGGACGGTGTTTGTTTTCCGGTTGGGTAGATGGTGTAGATACCACTTATCAAATTATAACCTTTAACTTCTGAGCATTCGGTCGGAAATAACAGAACTGTAATACAACTTTTATTATTATAATAAAAAATACACCTAAATAATTATAAGCGTGACTCGCACATAATTCTCCCTTTTCCTTAATTGTATAGATTTTTACTATTGGAAAAACACAATATAATCAGACCAACAAAGAAATTAGAATAATATACTTAAAGAGTTTCTGAAAGTTTTTTATAATTCCAGTTAAAGAGTAGTTACTGGTGCTAGGGTCTTATCTCCTTCTCTTCGTATTCTTAGTAAGACAATGTTGTGCTAAATTTATTTCAATCAAAAAGTAGAATATCAGATACTGAGTTCCTATGAAAGTTTCACTGAAATCCAGTGACCGGCTTAAGAGGACTGCAAATACAAGGGTTGGGCAGACTGGAGAAGATAAAGATCACAGGAATAGGCATGCAGACACAGCGAGCAATACTAGCAATGTTTAGCTAAGCAGGCATGTCAAGAATAACAATTGCATCATATATTTTAAAGCGATCGACAATGGATGATAATGCTTTACTGTTTTATTGCACTATACAAAAAATATATATATAAACGGTCATGTTGTTGATAGACATATACATGATTGGCAAAAGAAAAATATAATACTTAATACTGTAATTGTCTAAAAAAAGATTTTGAACGATAACATTGAGAATGGAAATGGGGAATGTGTCAAAGAGACAACAACCCGACCATAGAGCAGACAACAGCCGAAGGCCACCAATGGGTCTTCAATGCAGCGAGAAACTCCCGCACCCGGAGGCGTCCTTCAGCTGGCCCCTAAATAATTGTTAGTGTTTTACACCACTTTCAGTACTCTTAGCTATATTGTGGCGGTATTTTTTTTATTGGTGGAGGAAGTCGAAGTGCACGGAGAAAACTACCGACCTTCGTTAGGAAAACTAACAATACTAGTCAATAAAGATTGGAGTCAGGCGAACGCACCTGCAACATTCGGGGTTCGAGCTCACAACCTCAGTGTTTCCAGGCTAGTGGTACAGTAGTTGACCTACTTAGACCACTGGAGTCCCCTTTGAACCAAAAAGATTTGATGACATGAAAAAGGTACGCTTTACTGTGGAAACCGTAGGAAATGAGCATTTAGCACATGTTACATGACTTACTTTACATATTAGACTAGTAATAATAAGTGAGGTTCTTCTTCTGTTTCATAAAATCGTGTATATTACAAACAAAAATGCCAATATGTAAATTTTCTTACTGTGTGGATATTTTTGACAAGTTAAATTCTCGTTACAAACTTTTGTGTCATTACAACAAACGGTGCACTTTACGTGATGACCTTCTGAACGTCTTCCAAAAACAGGCCCAAAAGACTGGAGACATGCCTGTAAATTTAACAAAATGTACCAGTTTACTATTGTTTAGAGAGGAAAGTAAAAAGGAGGGTTACACAGTAAAGGAACAGTAAAAGGATTATTTAATTATGTTAGTTAGATTGTACATATAAGTTGGACATCTTGCACAAACTGAAAATCGAAATGATAATTTATAACTGTTGCAATGTATACCTGAAAAGGATTATTGAATGGACATCAATAAAATAGATACATTTTTTTGTATAGAATACAAGTAAAATTTGTGGGAAATATTTTCAAAATCATCTTTAAAAGTTTCTTTCTCAAAACCTAGTCATTTTTGGAAATTCAAAAGTCAAAGTGATGTTCCTAAAACTTTTTAAAAATGTATTACAATACCAATACAAATACAATAGGTTAGCTAATGCATAAAAATGAATCCGGTAAAGATAACATTATGCGAACAGTTACGTAGCAACAACATTGCGAATATCTCATTATTTAAGAAAATCTAAGGATTTTATGATTTTAAGACAATTTTGTAGGAGATTTTCATCGATTTACGTGCAAACTATAGACATTTACATCTATTCTAAACGTGTTCATTCAATTATATGGCAGAAAATAAAACAGATGTTAGAAAATACAAGCAAGACCTTTGTTTTAACTCAGAAAAAATATTTTGATTGGGGAAATGACACACTTTACTGGTAGAAATAAAGGTACATTCATAACAATAAAAAATTACCTTACCTGTGGAAATGCACAGCCATAATCATAGAGAGAGGCACCGGATTCTGTAATGTAGTGGTGCATAGAACACACCTGTATTTTAAAAAATATATCATATTTGTATGTATTTATAATACAATATCAAAAATTGAAATTTACATTACTAAAATAAAGAATTTTTACATGTATATGCACCTTATAGAGACAGCACTTGCGATTTTACTTATATTTTACTGAATACATACTCCCGATTGTGACATTTTGACTGACTGTGAACTTGCATGACGGCGCAGACAAAAGCTTATCCTGTCCACGTCATTTTGGAGTTAATGCGAATCCCTCAGTTTTTGTTTGTTATACCTTGATTTATTTAATTCGAACATCGGTAAACTACTGTTGTCTTGATCTATCTCAGAAACATATAATGCATTTGTTATTCTTAAATTGAGATTTTTTTATGATACACGGGAGATTATCCAATTTGCATAGTTTTCCAACGCTTGTTTTACAACACTTGATCTTTACCACTGCTGATTAAATATCAGAACCCGACGGTACCACCCGCCATGTACCCAGTGCTTGGTATAAATAATGTATTGTACTAAATCGAAGGTTGCAATAACAAAAACGGTACCAATGTTACTGTACCAGATCCGCATTTCGACAATTAATGTCTGTTCAGTGATTCCCAATGCCAAAATTCAAACATTTAAAACTTATTAAAAACGTTGAAGAGCTGACTAAACCAAAAGGAGAGATTTTTTTGGAACTTTTTTAATATATGCGGCCAACTTTGCCTTAGGGAATAGCAACCTTTGCTTTACACAATCTTAAAAAATATATATCGACAGTAACGAAATATTTGACTTTCGGTATGATTTGAAACGAAGTCGGTGACACTATGGTTAGGCGGAAAACTTGATCCATTGAAAAAATAATGACAAAATATGTTAGGGGCTTTTAAACTTTCATCAAGAAATTTACTGGATAAAATACACTACAAAATACTCATTAAGGATACTAGGCTTATAATTTGGTACGCCAGACGCGCGTTTCGTCTAAATAAGATCATCGAATCAAAATAGTTAAAAGGCCGATTAAATACGAAATTGAACAGCATCTCAACCTAAAAATGCCAATACGTGTCCCGAAGATATATGGCGTTGGCTTTCTATGCCAAGGGCGGAAATCCTGAGTGTTTCGATAATTTTTTACATTTTACATTTAAAAACGATATATCTATACTACTAAAGGAAGAGACCGAATTCTTTGAGCCGCAACTCCTCTGAAACCATACAAAGTCGGAAATATTTGTGATATGACGTATAAATGTAGTGTTTTGTACTTCCTAAATTTGTCTTTAAAACAATCTTTTTTCTACAGAAAACGCCAATTTTTGAGAAAATATCCAAATTCACAGACCGTTATCGATCCCTTTTTATGTGTAAACACAGGAACCCTTGATACTCTTTGTTTCAACACTTGCTAAATTGTACCGCGATTTCGCGGGCATTTTCTAGTTTATATTAAATAAACATATCAATGATATTTAATGTCAAGACAAAGATGATGACTACTGGGCTGGTGATACCATCCGAGACGAAACAACCACCAGTAGGGGCATCGACCCAGTGGTTGTAAAATATCATCAAAGATATAAGGCTTATAAATTGGTACGTCATAGGCGCGTTTCATCTGCATAGTGTTTCTAATGCATTGTTTAAAACGACCAACTCTACTTCTAAACTCCTAACACAAGGTAGAGAAATCGCATGATCGACATGATGATCTTCTTTATACATTAGAAGGGAGTAAAGATATAAATGAATGAATTCTGTCTCCCTTTTCCTACAGAAAATCGGGCAATACAACCGTGAATCATATTTCTAATGTATCCAAAACGACTACTAGGATCTTGCACGAACGGCTTATATTAAAATATGCATAACGATATACATAACAATATAATTAGCGATATACATACCGATATACATCGCCATAATCATAACAATATGCATATAACAATATAAATAACGATATACATAACGAACATCAGATATCAAGAATTCTCTGCTATTGAGGATTTACCTCGTTGACATCACATGTAATATGATGGTGACATTCATCTGCTACCTCAACTCCTGTACATGATGCGCATGTCTGTCCATATCCTTCAGTTTCTAAGTATAGACATATTCAAAATAATTGTGTTTTTATAAGGCATAACGCTTGATTGCGTCCAAAAAACTTCACTAAAATTGTAAGGTAAAGTACAAAAATATTAAAGGTTCAACCAGAAATAAAAACCAAAAATAAAATATTTACTATCGAATCGGGGATCGAGACAAATTCTTATTTGCGATTAAATGTATTGCAGTGTTTAGCACTGACAATGGAATCTTCACTTAACTTAAAAGAGGGATATAGGAACATCTTTAAAACAACTCGTCCTGAAAATGCAAAATAACTGTGCCTCTGGGTGTTAACCAAAGAACAATCAATCAACCTATTAAACTAATAAGATATTTGTTTTTAATAATGGTTGGTGTTGTTCCTTAATGATACGTTATCATTTTCACTTCGACTTCTGTGTTTTGGATGTTCCTTCGGTATCTACTGTCTAGCTCTTTTTATAAAGAAATTCGGGTTGTTGTTTTTTTTTTTTTTTTTTTATCTGCATTTTGAGATTGCTTTTTGATGTTATGAATTGTTTTGTAAAGTAAAATAAGATTTGTTTTAATGTAAGTTAGATGTGCAGTAGAACTTATGTTATGCCTTTGTTTCGAATCTAAATAAAGTTTATTTATTTATCATTATTGGATTTGTAATATCTACGACTTTTCAAGACGCCTCTATCTTTAGAAATGGTGAAAAATGACTTCCTGGTTTCTATAAACAAAAGTTAATTACTCTCAGCGTACTCATTAACTCTGTCAGCTTACAAAGCGATCTACGGACTATGTTTTCAATCTCTGAACGAAATGTGACTATACTAACAAGCATTACGCTAAGACAATGTCATTACGCACAATGGTTCCAGAGAAGATGTCTAAATTCCAATAAATGTATAAATTCCGTTACAAATTCAAAGAAATTTTAATTAGTAGCTACATATTATTTGTATTTGAATCTACTAATGTCAATATTAACAAGAATCATACTTACGGGAAATGTACGAATTGAAAAGGCATACTGCTACGAATACAGCCAACCCTAAATATAAGATAAATGCCAAGAAAATACATGACACAATAAAAATATATGGAATATTTTCGTATACGTGTAAATAGACATTTTCCAAAGATGTCTTTTAGGCTTTGAGTTTCGTTGAGTTACTGTCTTCACATATATCTCACATCCCTTGTCGTTTACTAATATATTAATTATTACTGGCGATTTTGGACATAAAACAGAGCTCTCTCTGCAAAAATGGGAAACATAGATCCAAATTCTTTGTTTTAGGTGATGATAAATCATTACTTTGTGAAGAACCACACTGGTTCCATCGAAATACTGGACTTTTTGATCGACAACATTTTTATGAAGTTTGGTGGGATAATATTTCACCAGACAGTCGGTATTCCAATGGGTACTGATTGTGCATCTCGACTGGCCGACTTGTTTTTGTATTCAAGTGGATCAGAATTCATACAGAACGTTCTCAAAGACAAAAAGAAAAAGCAATCTTGCTAGGTTTTTTTATTTTACTTTCAGATATATTGATGATGTTCTGTTTTGAATTTTCATTGGAGTTCGGTATTTTTGTTATTTTAATTTTCACTCAATAACCCACATTTCAATGAGTGCATACATCTCATATATCCCAGTGAACTTGCAATTAATGATACTACCGAAAGTAAAAGGTCTGCTTCATGTCTAGATCTTTTACTCGATATTGAAAAACAGGGACGACTTCAAATTAGAATCTATGACACACCTGATGATTTCAACTTTCCAAGTGTCAACTTCCCATTACTCAGCAGTAAAAAGTAATAACAGAACTACCGAACTCCAAGGTAAATTCAAAAAGGGGAAGTAAATAAAAACGGACAAAATCAAACATTAGACTGTATCAACCAACGGAACGAATGGAAATTGTCATATTCCTGACTTGGTACAGGCCTTTCTGAAGAAAAAGGTGTGTTAAACCTGTTTTCCAACTAGCTATATCTCCCACTTGCATGATGAGAGTTGTGTGTAGTAACGTAACAGTAACGTACCCCTTACTCCATTGAATGTCTCAATTAATACGTTACGCTCATGCATGGTCACACTATATGGAGTTCATTAACAAGGCTGTGCTCCTCACACACAAACAGAGTTATTAGGAAGAACGAATGCAAACGACTTTACATATGTTTTACGTTCACCATCACAAATTGGTTGACTGATACGATCTGTCGGTGTCTCAAATCACTAGCGACATTTTTTCGCGGTCTTAGATCTTTAATACCAGTATTGTCGTCTGATCTATAATTTTACGGATTGTATCCTATTTACAATTGTGACATTTTGACCGAGTGTTGATTCGCATGAACAGTGATGCATATGTAGCAAGGGACGCTTAACCTATCGACGTACCCGGTTTCGCTCCTTTTGGAGTTCATGTTGTTCCATCAGTTTCTGTTTTTTACCTTGATTTGTTTATTCCTAATCGATTAGAGAGATCTAAACATCGGTAAGCTAATGTCGCATTGACTTAAACCTCGGATGTAAACAACATGACATCAATGATGATCACATTCTGTGGTAGACATAATAATGGACAAACTACTTATAGATCAGACACGGACCGATTGTTTATCTTTTACGTCATTTTGTTCGTCATTTGAGGTATGGAGATGTATAATTTTGTCAATATCTATTACTTGACTGTTTTCTCATTGACGTTTAGTTTTCGAAATGTGCATTATAGTAGATACCTTTAAGTTTTGTACTACACCCCAAAATTCATGTTGAATGCATTTCACAGATGACTAACATGGTACATTCTTGTTGGATGAAAGAAGTCTTAGACCATCAGATAGACAATTCCAAGAATTACAATAAGAAAAAACAGAAATAAAAATTTTCAAAAATGAAAATCGATCGCACAATCTTAATTATATTTTAAAATGTTTAAACAAGTTAAAACAATTTGTTCTATAATTTGGCCTAAATATGTTTTAAACAAGATACTTTAAGGTGATTCAAATTTTCAAGACTTACCACGCATTCTTTGTTCTATTGATAAACAGTGGTGTGAAAAATCTTGTCTTGTGAAAGATAAGCATGCCTTGTTCAAGTAAACGTGTATTAACAGTACAGTTTTAAAGACTTTCAGAAAGATTGAAATTAACAGATTGGAAAAAATCAAACAGATGTGTTTATTATTACTTGTATTAGCATTGAAGTTAATAGAAAAAGGAAGTTTTAATGAAACATGTCCATTTAAGGAAATAGATAGTTTACCATATGCAATTGCTGATCGTGAATTTCCTGGCATAAAATCTTTACCTTTTACTTATTCATGTTAAGACATACGGAGGTAAGATAAGAGAACAATTCCGGTGTAGTTTCAAAATAAGAAGTTAAAACCCGTGGCAAAATCTGGAATACACTTTATGGTTATATCTGGAAAAGTGGAACGTGTCTCTTACGCCACCATGAATTGGTTGACAGTTACAGAATATCTATGTTACAAAATGGTATATTTTTTATGTTGGATGTGTACTGATTGATATTTTAGTCTTAGATATATGATTATTTCTATTAGTAGTTTGAACTTGCTGTCAGTAACTGCGAGTACTCTCAGGTCTGTACTTTATGTCTTTTTTGTTATAAGGAATGTGTAAATACCTTGCCACGTCCGATCTGTGTTTTGTTAGATGTTTTTCTGCTTTGTATCGATCTGATGAGTTAAGCCCTTTTCAACTGAATTTTATAGTATTTTCTTATGTTGTGCTGTAACACCACTGTCCCAGGTTAGGGAAGGGTTGAGCTCTCACAAACAAGTTTAACCCCGCCACATTCTTTATGTGCCTGTCCCAAGTCAGGCGCATGTAGTTCAGTGGTTGTCGTTGGTTCATGTCTGTCATATTTGTTTTTCGTCAATTGTTTAGTTATAAATTAAATTATAAATTAGGCCGTTACTTTTCTCAATTGAATTGTTTCAAATTTTTCATGTCGGGGCCTTTTATAGCCGACTATAAGGTATGGGTTTTTCTCATTGTTGAAGGCCGTACGGTTGCCTATAATTGCTTACATCCACTTTATTTGAAGTTTGTTGGGTAGTTGTCTCATTGGCTATCATACCTCATCTCCTTATTTTTATATTGGAGCTTGCTTTTGGTGACTGCTAGCATTATTTAAAGTGACCGATACATAGCAGAAAAAAACAACATCAAACATAAACACAGACCGGACGTGACAGTGTATTTATACATCCCTCATCCCTAACAACAAAAAGGACACGAAGTACAGATCTGAGAGTACTCGCAGTTACTGACAACTAATAAAAAAATCATGTATCTAAGACTAAAATGTCAATCAGTACACATCCTACATCCAATGGATTTAGTGTAAAGATGTCATTATCAGTCAGAGAAAAACATGACCTTGTGCATTGCCAAAATGCCAAACGATCGATATATTGTACTACCGTTAAAGTCCATATGTGTATAACAAAACTATTAGTATGATTTTCATTTACTGATAACAAAATCAATATTTATACCAATAAAAACAATATTCAAAGATATAATTACAGTGTTGAATTGGTAACCTTTTAGAATAAGTTTATTTAAAGGATTGATAAGTTTACCCGGATCGTATATAAATTTCCGGGCTCGGTTAACAACATCACCGTAAAATTTAAGATGTACTATTCCGTCTGAAATAAGTTTTTTACATGTACAGCCAAACTTGCAAACCAAATCTATGGAAGAATTTAGTAAAGGTTTTAAGTAATTTGTAGTAACGAAATCCTTGAATTAATAATTTACCAGTAATACATAGATTACGCTCATTGAAATCCAAAACGTCACTACAGACAAGGGCATACCGAGCGATTTGGGATATATAAACACCGTAAGATGGTGCCAGAGGAACATCACCGTCCAAAAAAGGAAAATTAACAATAGGGAAAGAAAAATCATCCCTTTTGTCGAAAATTGTGTACACCCCCCCCCCCCCCCCCCCCCCCCCAAGTTCATAAAACACTATGAAACCATGCCTAACTACACCCTTAAATCGTCCACTGTTTTGAAAACAGCTTGTTTGTAAACAAACATTCTTAGCTTACATATACAGAGATTACCTTAGGGAAACTTTAATGTCTGTAACATGGCTTTATTTTCAGATTGTAGTAAACCACAACCATGCGAAGATAATTCACAGCTGGGGTTAAAATTGATACTGTTATTAAGTGTATTATCGAATGATTGAAAAGAAATAGCAATTAAGGTGCGATGATCCAGCATAAAAGCCATTTCCCGGGTATTTGTGTTATCTTTCAGTATAATTGAAAAAAGGAAAACCACTTTCTCACGGTCGCTTTTTTTTTTTTTTTTTTGCGGTAAACGCGAACGGTCATTCCTTATTCCATGAGAAAAATAAAAGGTGACCTTTTTTTAAACTTTATCAGATTTGCATTGTTTCGATACCTATAAAAATTGTCATTATGACATTAGTGTGGCCTGAGTCAGAAAATATAACACTGCATAGCCTGGTATTATTTTAGATGTCTTCTGTGATGTAATATTAGTAGTTTATATGTTAATAAGAATATGCAGTGGACCTAACATTTTATAAATTGTTTTCGTCCAAAGTGCTTTCCTGGTTTTGTCTTCATCGGGAACGTTCAAAGCTACAAAATTGAAAGCAAATAATGCATAACTACCGAAACGGACTCCCCCTAAAAAAAAGCCATCCTAGCTAATATTTGCCTGAGGGAGTTAGAACCTTAGTTTAATTATAACTTTTAAATCATACAGTAAAAAGAATATGCAATGTATATAGTATATTAGTTTGTATTGGATTTATACTCGCTACGAAACAGGCTGAGCGAGCCTCGCTTTTCGTCCTATTTCTAAATCTCTTTAAAATAAATTTCATATTTTCCGACAATGTACATGTATAATATTTATCAATATATTGTGGATTTCCTTACTTTATACTAAATTTAGAAAAAATTTAGGATGATGTTAGACATTAAAAAGACATAACTGTTTATAAAGTTCGTAAACTTTATTTTTGACCACATGGACCTTATAAAGAGAACACTATAAAATATAATGTTAATAAAATCCTTGTTTTTTTTCAAATTCAGTACATGATTGCAACATTTTTTTTCTAGAAATGTTTACGTCAATTTAAGGTGTTATACAAACCGCTTATTTCATTTTATTATTCTATTCATATAAGCATAGATGTATAAACCTAGTTTTGGCTTAATATACACCTAAGAAATATGAAAATGAGTAAAAACACATATAGCATACAAGATACGAGCTCCTCTAAGGGAAGGACAACTTACAGGTATGGCCAGTTAACGGTATGACCATAACCCAACCCCCCCTCTATTGTGCAAAGTATTGAAAACTAGTATATTGCAACGGTTTGTTCAGTTATTCTTGTGTCTTTTTATTATATGTCGCGTGGTATCGGATCCATGTCTTCCCTGTAGACTCTAGTGTGAGGGAGACACCAAGTGCTCAGTTATTATTTGTGAAAAATGCCTGGCAATTGTAATGGTAATTGTTAATCAAAAATGAAGCTACAGTATTGAATAAGAAAAGATATAAATGTCATGGAATATCTATATTTATACTAAATGCACGATTTCCCTCTATATGTGTATAGAATGACATAGTCAATTTATATGGGTTTTTTTCTATTTAAGCTTACATGTCTTAGATATTCAGTTTGAAGCAGAATTAAAACGGGGAGTACAATTAATCGTTCCTTTCATTTTTTAAGACTATCCAACCATTAGCGAACAATTTTATTTATTTTCGTGTGGTATAATTATTTTGAGTTTCCTTGAGTAAACTATCGGACTTATTTACATGAAATAGCAATTAAGGTGTGAGGTAGTTTATCATATCCATTCTTCTGAATGTTTGCGGTATCTGTCTGTTTGCAGAGAACTATAACTGATTACAAATAAACCACTTTCTCACGAATGCTCTTCATTTGAAATAGCAGTAGCTTGGCTAGGTATCTTAAGACTGATAGCAATATTTGATCTCGGTAACTAGGGGGTCTCAGAGCCTAAGTAGGACCAGTTGTGTGAAGAAATCCTTAGGCTAGGGTAATTAAGAAGACCGAGGGCATCAAAAATTAAAAAAATAATGGAGCTACTCGTCAGTTGTTGACTACCTGGACGATCTGATCCGATAAAAATCACATGCTCAGTCCAGGGTCCTTTTGGCCACTATTGATGAAGTGACCAGCATATACGAATAGTCATGACCGGTCGGAATATTGCATTTAACCCGATGCCTAATGTTGAGAGATTGCCATTCACTTAGCACTTTAAAGAAACCTAACAATAACTCTTCGGAGTAGTCCGTGGTGGACTGTTGCAAGATATTTCTGTTTGTACAAAGCAGGTCCTTATGCATAATGGTTTTTTTTTTCTGAATAAGAGTGGTAATTTGCCATTAGACGCTACTTAAAAAATAATCAATTAGTCAACTAGCTGGGCTACTTAACCCGTTGTAAATCCTATCGCGGATTGTTAGGACTTTAACGCAAGATGATTTTATCTAGCTTTAGCTACGATTTAGACTAAACAAATTAAAATTTGATATTTTTTTGTTTCAAACATTAACAAAAGCGGAATTTTGAAACAATATTTCGTTATAAGCAGTCGGTTTGGTTCTATTTTGTCAAAATAAGCTCAAAATCATCGCTGATGTATTATTTGCTTGCAAGTCAATAATTCAACCTCAACTAAATCCGTATTCATGATGGGGCAATATTATACTATTCAGATTTAATTAATAAATCGTTTACCATACATATAAATAAAAGTCAAAACCAAAATGAAAATTTCTTGCAGAAATGCGATTTTATTTATATTAACAAAAAGAGTTAGTGCGTGTCTTTTAAAACTGTGCACGGTGCGATGGTCAATTATACAATGAGGCATTTAGAATTAACTAAAAAGTGGGAATTGATGTCTCTAATGTTGTAATAACTTGTGTCCAACCCTTTTGCTTTTCTTGCAAA